ATGCTCTATGGCTGATTTATGAAGACACCACATTCATGATCCTCAAGTAACTGAAAAATGGTCACCTGACTACAGTTTTTCTTTTTTTTTTTTTTTTGGTTCTGAATGTGGAGATGGGATTCAGCTGCTGTTTAGAGCCGAGCTGGATCTATGCTTCAAGAGAGAGAGGGCTGTTGGCCACCCCAAAAACTGAACTATTTGCCTTAACACCATTAACAGAAATCTGATGAACAATACAAACAATATTTATTCATACAATTACCTTCAAAAAGTTGACAAATTTTAAAATGGCCCTTTCATCCTTCCGTTTGTCTGAACTACCCCATCCGAGCCTCAATGTGCTGGCCTCTTCCATATTCAAGCAACACTCGGTTTAGCTTTTAAAAAACGAAAACAAAACAACACTGATACCTCCACCCCGGCTCACTGGACCAGCCAATCGAAAACCATTTTCATCCTCATTGAACTGCTCTTAAAGCAACCCGATGGAACCATCTGACCTTTAAATCGAAATGAGATGTTTACATTTACTTGAATATGTGAGAATGTCATGTCCTCGCTGACTCAGGAAACAAACTGGTGGGCCAGTCACATTTGGGCTGCCGTGCTCTTCTTAGTTGTAAAAAAACAACAAAAGCTCATCATTTTCTCTTGATACAACTCTCAAAATCATTTTGATGCTACCTTGGGTCGCAGTAAGTTTCTAGATGAATTATATCCAGTATGCCAGGGATCTTTCGTGTTGGTGGACCAGCCCGGACACAAATTGTTAGCAATAGCGTCGCTCGGCACTTTTCTTACAGTTTTCTTCGTCATTTGAACTCACACAAAATTGATGTCTAAACATTGTGACAACACAGGACGTGTTTCTGTTAGCATTTACATTGGCTTCTTTGTGAGTAGCAAACCCCCGAATGGACATTTCAGTGCGAGGAGACAATGAAGTCACTGTTGTGCACCTCTTGGAGAGGAGGGGCAGTGAAAAGGATTTGAGGTCAGAAGACACACTAATTACACACGCTTGACATTCAATCCGCCCAGGACGGCAGATTACGGTTATAATCCCATCATCGGCGACAATGCGGGACATTATTACACGTCAACATGGGATGTCCGAGTGAAAGATTAAAGTCAACCCAAGGTAGAGAGATGTGAAAGCACGGCAGTCACTCGGTTTGATGAGAGATGACGGAGCCGTTTTATTTGTCGACGCGAAGTTCGTGTCACTCAAATGACCTCCGATTGACTTTGCAGAACCTCACGGAAAATCGCTGCTAATGCTGTACATCCAACAACAGTCCTGCTCGGTCAGGCGGTGTTCCAAAGAAGTGACACTTCTGTCATATATAAATCGATATGCCGCCTCATTCTTGTCAGAACTTTACATTCAAGTTACAAAGCAGCAACTGATCGTCTTTATGACTTTACGGGACAATCGACTAAGTGCCGGTTATCAGTCGTTATCAAAAACAAAAAAACGTGTTCTTCAGTAAAGGCTGTTTCATTCTTGTAAGAACTTCATATTCACTCCACAAGGTCGAGCTGTGATTGACTGGCACAAAAAACAAAAAAACTTTGCGGAACAATCGAACGTGTGCCACGTATTCTTCAATAAAGGCTCGCTGCTGTCTCTTTCTTCGAAGAACTCATATCCATCCTCTCTGATTCCTTTTGTATCTTTACCACACATTGACAATCAACAATTTCTATTCTTTCCACTCTCTGATCGACAACTTTGCCGAAGAGTCAAGACACTTAACGCCGATAAGAACGCGTATCCGACTATGCGGTAGCTCGGGTAAGCTTTTTGTCTTCGGTGTGACCGTTGCTTTTGTGACGTGGCAGAAAGTCGACCACCCAAGTGCAACAAGTGTCTCAAAGAGAGTTACGGATACTGTCGCGGAAACAAGAGGCGAGTTAACGCCCGAAAGCTGCGAGTGGAGCGAAACAAAACATCACAGAGACAAAATGGTAGCAGTGTAAACCCCCCCCCGCTCGGGTAAGCTTTTTGTCTTCGGTGTGACCGTTGCTTTTGTGACGTGGCAGAAAGTCGACCACCCAAGTGCAACAAGTGTCTCAAAGAGAGTTACGGATACTGTCGCGGAAACAAGAGGCGAGTTAACGCCAGAAAGCTGCGAGTGGAGCGAAACAAAACATCACAGAGACAAAATGGTAGCAGTGTAAACCCCC